GGCAGGTGGTCATAATGTTATGGCTGATCGGTGTGTGTATATATATATACACACACACACACACACACACACACAATCAGGTCCATAAATATTTGGGCAGCAACACAATCTTCATAATTTTGCCTCTGTACACCACTGTACACCACCACAATGGATTTGAAATGAAGCAAACAAGATTGAACTGTAGACTTTCAGCTTTTATTCAAGGGGTTTAACAAAAATATTGCATTAACCATTTAGGAATTGCAGCCATTTTTGCAGAGTCCCTCCATTTTCACAGGCTCAAAAGTAATTGGACAAACTAACAATCATAAATATTAGGATTATTTTTAATACTTGGATGCAAATCCTTTGCAGTCAATGACTGCCTGAATTGTGGAGCCCATGGAAAGCACCAAATGCTACGTTTCCTCCCTGGAGATGCTTTGTCAGGCTTTTACTGCAGCCACCTTCAGTTGCTGCTTGTTTGTGGGTCTTTCGGCCTTCAGTTTTGTCTTCAGTAAGTGAAAAGCATGCTCAATTGGGTTGAGGTCATTGGACATTTAAGAACATTTAATTTCTTTGCCTTAAGAAGCCCTTGGGTTGCTTTTGTGGTATGTTTTGGGTCATTGTTCATCTATACTGTGAAGCAGCACCCTATCAGTTTTGCAGCATTTAACTGAATGTGAGCAGAAAGTATAGCTCTATACACTTAAGAATTCATCCTGCTATTTCTACCAGCGGTCATGTTATCAATAGACACCAGTGACCGAGTTCCACTGGCAGCCATACATGCCCATAACTGATGTTTAACAGATTATGTGGCATGCTTTGGATCATGAGCCCTTACTTTCCTTCTCCGTACCCTTCTCTTCCCATCATTCTGGTGCAAGTTAATATTGTTCCAGAACTGGGCAGGCTCTTTTTTTTTTTTTTAAAAAAGAGGTTTTTAGCAAGTCTAATCTGGCCTTTCTGTTCTGAGTGTTAACAGTGGTTTGCATCTTGAGGTAAACCATCTTTATTTACATTGAAGGCGTCTTGATTGTAGACTTTGACAATGAAATGCCTACCTCCTCCAGAGTGTTCTTGACTTGGTTAGATGTTGTGAATGGGATTTTCTTTAACAAGGAAAGAATTCTGCGATCATTTGCTTTAGTCTTCCATGGGCTTCCAGGCCTTTTGGTGTTGCTGAGCTCGCCAGTGCATTCCTTCTTTTTAAGAATGTATCAAATTGTTGATTCGGCCACTCCTAAAATTTCTGCTATCTCTCTGATAGGTCTGTTTTGTTTTCAGCCTAATGATGGCCTCCTTCACCTGCATCGACACCTCTCTGGACCGCATATTGAGAATTCTCATAAACAGCTAACAAAAGCAAATTCAATGCTTGGAATCAACTCCAGACATATTATCTCCTTAATTTGTCATGAAATAACGAGGGAACAGGCCACACCTGGGCATGAAACTGCTTATCAGTCAATTGTCCAATTACTTTTGAGTCTGTGAAAATGGAGGGACTATGTAAAAAATGGCTGTAATTCCTAAATGGTTAATGCAATATTTTTGTTAAAACCCCTTGAATTAAAGCTAAAAGTCTACACTTCAATCACATCTTGATTGATTCATTTCAAATCCATTGTGGTGGTGAACAGAGACAAAATCACGTAAATTCGATCACTGTCCAAATAATTATGGACTTGACTGTGTGATATATAAACACACACACACACACACACACACACACACTATACACAATTCTTTATTTAAGACAATCAGTTATAAATTTAAAAAGGCAAGATACGTAAAAAACATCAATAAATACCTGATCACACTATCCCACAGTTAAAACCTATTTTCCTCAATTTATGGTTGTCAAATCTTGCGGTTTACAGACATTTCATTAAAAAAATAGTCTGCTTACAGTTTAAATGTGCAAATTGCATATCACTCTGACTAAAGTGTTACCTTTCTATATTCAGACTAGATATGCACATTTTACTGAGTAGCCACTGAATGCAAAGGCAAGCAGAACATTGTATTCAACATACAGTATATAAACAATAATCATTGCCTGCATTGCCTCTTTTTAATGTCACCTGAGGTTTGTGAATTTATCCTTCCCTTGGCATAGATAAGTTGACATTATCTCAGCAGATGTGCCATAATTAGTGCGATTACAGTCCTGGTGAGTATGATGAGCCAGCCGGTCCAGTTGTGATCCGCTGCACCACGCAGTTGTAGTCCCTGAATGTTGTTCTGAATAAAGTTGGAAAAGGCTGACACTCTAGCATAGACACCCGGCCGGTTGGGCTGGGCACAGCCCAAGCCGAAGCTTACAATGCCAGCCTGTAACCAGATGCCACTAGATGTTTGGCACACCAGCGGTCCTCCAGAATCCCCCTAAAGAGAAGTTCAGTATTTTTTCAGAAAGCTCTGGAACGTATAATTGGAACGTGAATATGTCCATCTGAATATGTTGAGCAAAATCCGCAAATACATGATACATCAGCTGAGAGAATGCGTAAAGCATAAGGGTGAACATGTAGAGCATATGCTCTAAATAATAAATACAAAATTAAGTATATGTAGTTTTGCTCTAATTGGTTCTTGACTTTTCGGACACCCTATAGAACAGTCACCCTCACCTGGCAGGAATCTTTGCCCCCCTGTTGAAAGCCGGCACAGAGCATGTCATAGCGAATGTTAACCTGCTCTGTGGCATGGATCTGGAACATCTCCTGGCAGGCAGATTGATCGATGATTGGCACCTGCACCTGCTGCAGAGTTCCCACCCCCTGCAAAGAAACTATACCCAGAGACAGAAGATGGGAAAATGTTAGGAACCTGGTGGGCAGGAGTGGCTGAATGGTTAAGGCTCTGGGTTACTGATCAGAAGGTTGGGGGTTCAAACCCCAGCACTGTCTGGCTGCTGCTGTTGGGCACTTGAGCAAGGCCCTTAACCACACCTGCTCCAGGGGCACTGTATCATGGCTGACCCTGAGCTCTAACCCCAGCTTTCTAGCAAGCTGGGATATGTGGGAAAACTGCATTTCATTGGCTCTGTACTTGTACTCTGCACAATGACAATAAAGTTGAAGCTAAGATAATCTAATCTAATCTTATCTTCTCACCCCATTCCTATTTTGTGTTCTCTAACAATCACCTACAACTGTTAGAGGAACACCATGATAACTCTCTAATTTTGTTGGAAGTTATTACAGGGCAGAGTCTTCAGGCCTCTATTTACTTCCTGTTTTGTAGGGTAATGAAAACTTATTTACGTAATCTGTAGTTCTTTACCCAAAAAACCTGCCTAAGTTGCAGATTTGCTTATATGGCTCTCTTTTGTCAACAAGGCCTCAGCTCTCTGTAACTCAAATCCTAAGTGCATTAGTGGCCCACAACCAAAATACGGATGAAAGTCTTACCTGTTCATGGCCACAAGTACTCCCCCTAATAATACTAATAATACAGCAAGCATGCACCTAAACTTACTCAGGCTGTTTTAAATTTATAATTTCCCTCAACGCCGACCTCTGTGTCTGGCATCCCCACCCACACTCACTTCCATCTCTAATGTCTCCCCAGCCTGTGATGGTGCACAGCGTTCCTCCAGGAAACGAAACATCTGCATTTGGCAGGCACACAGGCTGGACGTGATCAGACCACTTGACTGGGCTAGCCAACTCCACTAAAGCTATGTCCTGGCCCAGCTGCGGGTCCGTGTATCCATACGGCACCACCACACGACTAATCCGATGAGATGTCTCGTATGGGTTCCAGCCATTCAGCTGCAGACGGCCTGCGTAGATCAAGTACTGGGACGTGTCAGAAGGACTGGAAACACCATGAGAGAAAGATAGATATGCTGAACATGCTAAATTAGCTAACATCACAAGCAGAATACACTAACTTAGCTAACAAATTGCTAGTGGAAAACACTAGTGGTAAGTCATTATTATTAATCATCAATCATGATCAAATTTGTATATTAGCAAGAGGGAAAAGTTCCTGTAAAGATGCAAGATTTCTGTACATTCAGAAGGAAAACATGTAAAGAACAAATAGATTTGACTGAATTCTGCTGCATAGAAACATCTCAAGAATTTAAAAAAAAAATGATCGAAACTCACTTTGGGAAACAGTGAGCTGCAGATAGAACCCAGTTCTCGGCAATGATTGTTCCTCCACATATATGTCCTGTAGGGGACTGAAAATAAATGGTTTATTGATAGTTTAAAGCTGCTGTAAGCAGTTTATTTAAGAACACTTCAGTAAAACAGATGCTGTCAAAAAATGTCCCTGAAAACTGGAACTAAAGATTTCAATATGATCCACCTACATTATATGGCCAGAAGGTATATGGACACCTGATCATCACACCTTTTTAACCATTTTACCATTTTAGATGTATACACTGCATATCCAAAAGTATGTGGACACCTGACCATCACAGTCCTATGTGCCTATTCCAAAACCATGGGAATTAACAGAGAGTTGGCCCCCACTTTGCTATTATAACCTCCACTCCTCTGGGGAGGTTTTCTACAAGATTTTGGAGCGTGTCTGTGAGAACATGTGAAGCGTGATTCATCACTCCAGAGAATATGTTTCCACTGCTCCAGAGTCCAGTGACTGTGTGCTTTACACCACTCCATGCTTGGCATTGTGCATAGTGTTCTTTGGCTTGTGTGCAGCTGCTCGGCCATGGAAACCTATTTCAGGAAGCTCCCAATGCAATTCTTGTGCTGATGCTGCTTTCAGAGGCAGGTTGGAACTCTGTAGTGAGTGATGCAAAAGAGGATGGGAGATTTTTATGCGCTACACACTTCAGCACTCGGCAGTCCTGCTCTGTGAGTCTGTATGGTCCACCACTTCGTGGTTGAGCTTGAGTTCTTGGTCCTAGATGCTTCCATTACACAATAATAGCATTTACAGTTGACTGGGGCAGATCTAGCAGGGCAGAAATTTCACAAACTGACTTGTGGCAAAGGTACTATCCTATGACAAGGCCACAAATTTAAAATCACTGAGCTCTTCAGTTTACTTTTTTTTGGACAGTTGAAAACTGGAAAACGACCACCGCAAGGTTCGATATGTTGTGCATTTTGAGATGCTTTTCTGCACACCATGGTTGTAATGAGTGCTTATTTGAGTTACTATATCCATCCTGGCAGCAAATCTGGCCATTTTCCTCTGATCTCTCTTATCAACAAGGCATTTACACCCACAGAACTGTCGCTCACTGAATGTTTTTTGTTTTTCGCTTCTTGCACCATTCTGAGACTGTCTGTGAAATTCCCAGGTGATCAGCAGTTTCTGAAATACTCAAACCAGCCCTTCTGGTACCAACATCCATGCCATGATCAAAGTCAAAGACATGACACTTTCTTCATTCTGATGTTTGATGTGAACATTAACTGAAACTCTTGACCTGTATCTGCATGACTTTTTGCATTGCGCTGCTCCCACATGACTGGCTGATTAGAGAACTGCATGAAGTTTAAAATTTAGCGAAGAAATTCTGCACATTTTTGGAGTGTAGCATCTCTATCAAACATGATTATAGGCAAGAAAATAAAAGAAAAACTGAAAAATGACACAGACAAAATGACTTTTCTGTGGCTTAATAACACCTGGCGCCTAGTTGTAAGCGAAAACAGAAGCAGTAAAAAAAAAAAAAAAATGAGACCATCATATTCATCAAAAGATGAATAATTGATCGTAACTTCAGCTTTCATTTCCTGATATATCTAGATGTGTTAAACAACTTAAAACATGGCACCTTTGGGTAAGACCACACAATTTTTAGGTGAACAAAAGTATTGGAACAGTCTTAAAAGTAAATTAAAGCAAATAACACTTAATATGCGATTGCATATCCCTTGCTTGCAAGAACTGCATCAAGTTGGCGACCCACTGACATCACCTAACTATTACATTCTTCTTTTGTGATTCTTTCCCAGGCTTGTACCATAGCTTCCTTCAGTTGTCTGTTTGGGGAGTTTCTCCCTTGAGTCTCCTCTTCAGGAGGTGAAATGCATGCTCAATTGGGTTAAGGTCTGGTGATTGACTTGGCCAGTCTAAAACCTTCCACTTTTTTCCCCTGATGAATTCCTTGGCTGTGTTGGCAGTGTGTTTTGGGTCATTGTCTTGCTGCATGAAGAAGTTCCTCCCAATTAGATTGGATGCAAATCTCTGGATACTGGCAGACAATGTTTCTGTAGACTTCTGAATTCATACTGCTGCTACCATCATGAATTACATCATCAATAAAGATTAGTGAGCCCGTTCCAGAAGCAGCCATGCAAGCCATGACACTGCCTCCCACTGTGCTTGACCAATAAGCTTGTATGTTTTGGATCACGAGCAGATCCTTTCTTTCCCCACACTTTGGCCTTTCCATTACTTTGGTAGAGGTTAATCTTGGTTCCAGAACTTTTGTGGCTCATCTCTGTATTTCATTGTGAATTCCAATCTGGCCTTCTGATTCTTACTGCTGGTGAGTGGTTTTCATCTGTTTGATGTCTGGTTGTTAGTACACCAGTGGTTTCTTTCTTTTTCAGGACATTTCAAATTGTTGTATTGGCTATGCCCAATGCTTGTGCAATGGCTCTGACCAATTTTCCCTCTTTTCTCAGTCTCAAAATGGCTTGCCATTCTCCCCCAGACAGCTCTCCGGTCTTCATATTGGTTTATCCTTTTTAACAACAAATGCGGTCTTCACAGGCAAAGCCCAAGGCTCAAACCAAGAGTCAACATTTAGACCTATTAATTGTTTAAACTATCAATCTAACGGGGCATACCTGGGCAACAAGAAACACCTGTCAGTCATATGTTCCAACATTTTTGATCTCTTAAGATTGTTTAACACAACTAGATGTAAATATCAGGAAATGAAAGCTGAAATTCTGATCTATCGTCTCATATTCATCTAAAAACACTTGCCGCTCTAATACTTTCAGATATACAGTTAGGTCCAGAAGTATTTGGACAATGACAGAGTTTTTGTGATTTTGCCTTTATACACCACCACAATGGATTTGAAATAAAACAATCAAGATGTGATCGAAGTGTGGACTTTCAGCTTTATTTTAAGAGGTTCCACAAAAATATGCCATTTACCAATTAGGAATTACAGCCATTTTAAGCAAAGTACTTCCATTTTCAGGGGCTCAAAGGTATTTGGACAATTGACTGACAAGAAGTTAACTGACCAGGTGCGGTCCATTCCCTCGTTACTTCAAGACACATGAAGCAGATAAAAGGTCTGGAGTTGATATCAGGTATTGAGTTGGCATTTGGCAGCTGTTTGACTGGAGCTACCAATATGAAGTCCAAGGAGATCTCCATGCAAGTGAAGGAGGCCATCATTAGGATGAAAAAACAAAAGAGACCTATCAGAGAGAGAGAAAAAACTTTAAGAGTGGCCAAATAACAATTTGGTACATTCTTAGGAAGAAGGAATGCACTGGCGAGCTCAGTAACACCAAAAGGCCTGGAAGACCACGGAAGACAACTAAAGTGGATGATCGCAGAATCCTTTCCTTGGTGAAGAAAAACCCCTTCACAACATCAAGAGAAGTCAAGAATACTCTGGAGAAGGTACGCATATCATTGTCAAAATCTACAATCAAGAGACGCCTTCATGAATGTAAATACAGAGGGTTTACAACAAGGTGCAAACCACTGGTAACATTCAAGAACAGGAAAGCCAGATTAGACTTTGCCAGAGAACATCTAAAAAAGCCTCCCTTGTTCTGGAATAAGATTCTTTGGACTAATGAAACCAAGATTAACTTGTACCAGAATGATGGGAAGAAAAAAGTATGGCGAAAGAAAGAAACAGCTCATGATTCAAAGTATACCACATCATGTGTCAAACATGGTGGAGGAAGTGTTATGGCATTGGCATGTATGGCTG